ACTACTACCCAACTATCGTTTAGAAGATGGGCACGTATGTAGCAAGATGGCCAGAAATGTGGCTGCAAACGGCTGTTTAACAGCAAGTTCATTGCTCAATCACACCTACGATGATTCATCGCTCGATTTTAATTCACAACGTTTCTAGATGGAAGTCAATCATTTATTTTCAGTATGGCTGATCCACTGTTTCGAGGATGGAACATTGTATTCTATGCAGTGGAATTTTCCATAAGTATAATATTTCTACCGATTGTTTCGATGGTCTTCTACATATGTGCCACACAAAGAAATCTTCATGTGAACTTCAGGTACTTACAATAGACATTTGCAAGAATTCACATGAATTGGGATTGTTTTTCCGAATAGTTGTAATGAACTCGTAAGTAGAACAGTTTCAGTTTCAATTCAGTAAACTTTGAGCTTTGTTCTTTCCGACATCTTAAGGCAAAAGGCACTGAATGGGGGCGGAAACAAAGCAGGCAAAGTTTTGAAGAGAGGACAGCACGACTTACCCTATTAACCCGAAGCATGGTGAACTGTAGCTTGAGCAATGGCTAACGAGGGGTCGTATTGGACTTTTGGAGAGGGTGGACATCTTGCGTTGTTACAACGGTCGATTTGAGGTTTTCAGAGATCGTGGTATGATGGGGTCAGGCTGTATGTAATGATGTGAATGCGAAGTTTTTTACGGGCGCATTATCCGTTTTAGTAACGATTGAAACTTTTACGGAAATAGGACGATATGTGTGGAATAATAATAAAAAAGGATAAAGCATTTGCCGTTGATCAATCCCTTTTTGGGATGCGGCACGCATTCTACTTCCATTTGTACATTCGTAGTGGCGTTTGAATGCGATGTGGCCTATACAATGACTTGCGGGGCCAGCCGATGTACAAGTCAGTGTTTTTATCCTCCCAGACAAGTCTGGTACCAATTAACCGACCCCGGAGGGATGGAAGGCTTGGTTGGCCCGGGCGACTCACGACCCAGGATTTGATCCCCGGACCGCTCGCGTGGTAAGCGTGCCACTTGTCACTACACCACTTCCGCCCTGGATTAATAATAGACGCCGTTTTTAGTCCATACTTTCGCACCCTGATCACACATCAATTTTTAAGGAAGATGGGTGTGGAATTGGAGTGTGTTTCAGGTTACAAGTTTCCACGAACTGGTTTCAAAATCGAACACTATGGAAACGGATGGTGAGTGCTGCACTCTAAAAAGGGGGAGGAACTCCCTTATCGGGGGTTTCATGCAGGGTTGCAGGTGGTGGTGGAACCTCAATACTTCCTGAAGAAGGGCAGGGAAGGGACGAAGCTTGTTGGGAAAAGTCGAAATATTCCAAAATCAGCACAACCTTGCGTTGATCCCATGATGCAAGGCATTGAAAGATCGCGAGAGTAAAAGGGGGAACATCATATATATATGAAGAGGGTACAAAACACTGAACTCCCCTCCTGCCGTCGGCGTGGTGTGTTGGAGAGGCAGCGCTGCGAGGAGTGGGAAAACGCGGAATAGCACGTGTGCGAAAATAGTGCAGTGTCCGCGAGAGGGCGTAAACGCCACGTATTTCGCGATTGTTAGAGCGGCAGTGCCTGCAGCGCACAAGGCCAAGACCTTAGCGCCACTGCCGTGCATTTTTGCAGCAGTGTCGCGGCTCTTGGGCTTGGGGTTACTCTTTCTCACTCCAGAACAGACCACCTTTTGGAACTTAATTCTGATACATATCTTTAATTTTGAAAACAGAAGTATTCTTTTTTTATAGAGCTATTCAAAAAGGTGTAAAAACAGCGAACACTTTTCATTCCAGGATCCTCTTATTCATGACATCTGTTGGCTACATGATGTACGACATAGCTCGCCTCAGCATAATAACGGTACACATGACAAGCAGTGAAGTAGAAAATATGAAATTTGTGGTAATTTTTCTCTCCTCTGCAAACAAAAATTTCCATGGTTGCCTCCTTCGTTATAGACGGTGTCCCCGATTGCCCATCTGTCTACAAACTGTTTCTATACATTCTCGTGGCTATTCATGATTATTGAAAGAGCAATCGCTTCGGCGTTTGTTGATGTTTATGAAAAACGGTTTGCCGGCTTTGTTGTTCCGACGCTCGCTTTCGTTGCTGTGGTGAGCTTGGATTTATAACAATCCTCAGTTCAAATTTGAATCCAATTAATCACTAAACATTGGATGCCTAATTTGGTCAAAAATGCATGAGAATAAGTGTTAATGCAAACGTATAATTATAAGATTTTAAATGGCTATGAACTTTATTTTCTTGAAATAAGATAAAAAATGCATTCAGTGAACTGCAATGTTTTGAGGTACGAAAGGAAGCACAGGTTACCGATGACGCGGGTGGAAGGCGTTAGTGTCGAGAGCGCCCTATTAGAGATGCTGTAAGGTCAAAAACGCTGGCTAGTTCCCGTACCTTCCGAATAGTTACGAACAAAAATATACTTTTGCTCGCCTGCGTGCTTTCTTGTCTCGGTGCTCAGTCTTTCATCGTTATAAACTCGTGCACTTTCCAAAACAAAGCCCTCTTTGCAGGATCATTGGAAAGCTTACCAAGTGAACTTCGAAAATCCTCCTTTTCCTACCTTTTCCTAGCTGCCAGGTGGAATTGTTGGTTCAGCCCTCAAGATGTCCTTGATGCTAAGTTGCACCATCTCAAATTAGTGGGCTGAAACGAGCAGGAAAAACAAGCTTCGAACTTGCATTGGGTTCGGGGAGACCGAGCCCAAATATGCAGTTTCACACACTGTGGAAGAGGTCTTATCAAAGGTTTTTCAGGAGGTGCCAAGCTTTTTTCAAAACAGTCTTTTGCATGATATAGGGGCACATGCGGGAACCACAGAGCCATGGTTAATTTTCCTAAACAGGCCTGAATACCAAAAAAGGGGGTCCCTGGTTCGATACCTCGTGGTGACAAGTTTTTCGGGGGACGTAATTCGCGCAAGGTTTAACGATGAATTCCATCTGGAAGAACTCGTCGATGAAGCAATTGCAGAGAAGCTGGAGAGCCTCACCTACGATTTGAGCCATGAATTACAGTACACATCGGTGGGCACCTTCCTTAGAAACGACCGAGAGAGCGTAGAATCCGTTACTTTTATATATTCTTCATTCCATGGGACATTAACTAAATCCTAAATTCTTCCAGCCATCAACCAAAGCCATCATATCTGCTTACAATATGTTTTCTAAATTGAGCAATTGTGAAATTCCCTTTAGTCACAATGAGATGCACTAAAATTTCATCTTTTCCTTAATCGGTCTGAGAAATGATCTTCACTTATGCAATGCCAGTAGAGTGCTTATTTTCAGACAATCATATCGACGCTTATTACAGTTTTGAGGTACTCGGGCACAGGTGAGTTATGTACTATGATAGTATCAATGCCTTTACGCAGTTTGTTTCCCTATGCTTCAGTATGCAATAACTGCAGCACTTCAAGGAAATGATTCGATCAATAAATTTACTTTTCAGCGAAAAACTTTGACGGTTACTTGATGGGATTACAAATCCTGATCGTAGTGTTGTCTTTTGCGGTGAGTACTACCCATATCAAAGATTGCAAAGAAACCGTCGGTCATACATGACGTCTACCGTCCTTACCAGGAAGGTCTTTCAGGGCGTGACAAGCTTTTTGAAAACGGTCTTTTGCATGATATAGGGGCAGATGCGGGAACCACAGAACCATGTTTAATTTTTCCTGAACGGCCCTCTGAATACCAGAAAAGGAGGTCCCTAGTTCGATTCCTCGTGGTGACAAATTTTTGCATTTCGAGTTGACGTGCCAAAATTCGCGCAAAATGGAGTTAGAACCAACCAGAACAATCAGAACTCGTGCGAGTGCGCACTACTATTTTAACTCTCCCACATCATTTAGGTCTATAAAACTACTGGGAGCATAGGAAATAGCCTTGCTCTGAGCTCGGAAGGAAATCTGCTGCTGGCAAAAATTGGAAATATTTCCAGGCTCTAACTGTGATTATTATATTCAACAAGGCATCCTACCGAAAACGTCACAGCTCCCAAATGCATCTTACAAATCGTTACCAATTGAACGAGAATATCCGAGTTGGAAGTTATTTGATGCCGATTGCCATCAATGAAGTACTTGTTAAGGTTTGTTCCAATTTTCTGGATACTAATGTTTTATTCAACAATATTGACTAGGGTGCTTCCAATTTCCCAGGGAATGTCTCCATTTTCCCATGGAACTTTAGATGACCCAGGCAATTAAGCACCAAAAAACAAAACAAAAACAAAAAAAACAACAAAAACAACCAACAACAACCACAAAAAAAAAACCAAATGGCGCCAAATCCCACTGTCTCAAAGTGAATGTCTCTTCGTGATCAGGTCATGCTGTTTACCACTATTAGTAACTGTGTTGAGGAAAACTTGGAAAACCTTGAGCGGTCAGATTAGCTCGCCTGAGCTGACGCTACTCCTCCTGTCAACTTTGACCACCCCTGTTTGGAATGTTTACGTAGCAGTTTTGGTCCCAATACGTTGTTGATTTGCATCCATTACTCTATTGATTCATCCCAGCCTCCAATCATAGTTCCATGGGAAACTGAAAGCATTTCCTGGTAATTTTTGGTCGGAGTAATGCATGAAGCGCGCGCCTGCATGCGTTCTTGACGTTCCAATTTTGTTGGTTTATATCCACTTTTCCTCGGTTTCCTAGCTTTTTCGTAACAGAAAAATGATGATTTGTGAAATCTCTGCTCCTTCGAGAATGCGCTCCTTCCGTTGTGGCCGTCCCTCTGCTCCAGCAGTCATGTTTCGCGCCCCTGATACAGTATTTTGCACCAATACACCAATTCTCCTGCTTCGTGTCTGTCTTATAACAGAATTACAAGTTTCCGAAGTAGGAAACTCCCACTCAGAGAACGTCCCAACTTTCCTAGTTTTGGGAGGCGCTATAAATTGCACCTTCCACTATGGGTGGTGTCGAAGGCAAGAATTTGTACACCAGGTCCGGAATAGCCCAAAAAACGAGGAGAAGTTGGCGGCTCTCAACTGAACACCCACGCTTTCGTTTGGGCGGTCCTCAACTGAACACCCATTTTCCTTTTTGGGCAGTTCTTATACCGGAAATTCTTGACCCTGGCTTCGCATTTCAGCGCATGTCCTACGGACACTGAGCCTCCACTTATTTGCGTGTTTCGTATGTCTCGGGCTCAGGTCCCATCCCCTTCAAACATGAGCCCTTCGCTTCAGGTGATTCTTTCAGTTTTCCTCGAATTTTGTGCCAGACAAGCAGACAGACAAAAGACGAAGCGCTGAGAAGCTAAAGGGGTAAAGACCACAAAGCTCATGTTAAACGGTTGTATTCTGTGCATAATGTGATGTTTGATGTAATTGTGTTTGTGTCCTGCACCTGATTACCTTTTCACGTATTGGATTAACGCATCGTTAGTATTGTGCAGCAGACATTTAATAATGCGATAGTTACCATAGCTGGTAAAAGAGGGGACACAACAGGATGTAATGACTTTGTCGTCGTAACAATCTTTTTTTCCACAACTGAGTGTGGAAAGCATGCTTTTGATGAGAAGTTAGGCGAGCTCTTGAGCCCTTATAAATTAATTGTCCAAAATGAGTGTCGTTTTTTTCCATGGCAACTTTTCTGCTGCTATTTTTGAATTTAGCAACGATGTCTAAACTTTCTGTTTTTCGTTGCCTGGGCTGCAAAAGTTTTTGAGT